AAGAAGTTGGCAGCATGAGCTTTCATAGACTTCAATCTACTTCCTCAGTATATGCATATAGTCTACTTCCTCAGATGCATAGTTAGACTAGCATGGCTATATCTTTGAATTCTAATTTAAAACAGTTAAAAAACAGAACTATAAAAAGCATGCCCAAGAAAAGAACAGGACTCATCTGGTAACAGCAGCTGGTCAGTTGCCGAAAATCTGTCTGAATAAAAATGCCTTTGGTTGTTATTGCGAGGATAACAAGGAAAGGACTAGCCTAGCCAGTGTGGCTAGTGGTTTGAGTGTTGGACTATGACTCTGGAAACCCAGGTTCAATTCCCAACTCAGTCATGAAATCTGCTAGGTGACCTTTGGCAAGTCACATATTCTTAGCCTCAGGAGAAAGCAACAGCAAACCTCTTCTGAAAAGGTCTTGCCAAGAAACCCCCATGATAGGGTTGCCTTAGGGTTGCCATATGTCAGAAATGACTTGAAGGCACACAACAACAACAACAACAACAACAACAACAACTTCTCTTTGGAGGTTAAGAGCTTTAGAGTGATCATTGAGAGTGCCTCCCCCAACATGCCTCTGTGGATGATGGTGAGACCAAGAGAAGAGCATCTGTCAAAGAAACCAAAGCTGAGGCAGGCTTGTATGGGATAATAAAGTCCTTCAGATACTCTGGATCCAAATTGTATAGACCTTTATAGACTGTTGGGTGACAGATGATGCACACTTGACTAGTAGATTGTTTATGAACTGCTTGAAAATTTAAAACTGTTAAACCATATATATAAATGGGGCAGGTATATACATAATATTAATTTGAGGTGTAAAGTAATAAGTCAGGACTGCCAAACCCTTGACTTGCATTTGAAATCTGTTGCCACCACATCACCTTGCTTCACAAATGCCATGTTTCAAGAGCTTTCCTGGCTAAACATTTGCTGGGTTTAATTTAAATTCTTGTCCTGTAGGCCCCATGAGGTGAGAAATGGAGATTTTACTGGCAGCGGTGAAGTCATGCTGTTTACCTGAGGCAAAAATTGGCATTTAGGTAGTATTTCCTTGGGCTTAGAAGGGCACATTTCATATGAGTCCGTCCAGCAGATCTTTTGTTTTCTTTTGCTAACAGATCTGTCTCTGAGGCATAGAGCAGTCATGAGTGGCCTTTACAGAAGAGTGTTTTTCCATGCAAGGAGTGTGCAGTTATTACTCACTCTGTTGTTTGCAGAGACATCCAAAGCATTTGAATCCTCATAAGTTGGTTCATTCACTCCTCCAGTACCACCGAAGGGCAGGTAGAACTTTATCAGCTCTTCAACCAGTCCTTGTCTTAGGGCCTTTGCAGACTGCTAGAAATAGTGCAGATTGAGTCCACTTTAAGGGTTAGGGTTAGGGTTAGGGTTAGGGAATCATGGGAACTGTATTTTATTGTGGCACTAGAGCTCTCTGACAAAGAAGGCTCAGTGTCTCAGAAAAACAACAACAATTCCCATGATTCCTTAGCACTAACCCCTAACCCTTAAAGTGGACTCAATTTGCACTATTTCTGGCAGTCTGCAAAGGCTCAGTCCCTTTAATAGCAGTTTCATCCTTAGTAAGTGGTTATGCTGATGGAATTGCAGGCCAGGCAAGACTATAACCCCTTATTTACTTAGAAGTGGGTTTCTAGCCTTTTGGGGATCAAAGGTGGCAAGAACGGTCTTTCACCTACCTCTGCAACAATGCCGTCAGCACATTGTGGACTTTTCCTCCTAAAAACCTTCTCAAGATTCCCTAGTCTGCCTCCCTAACCTGGTGCTTGATGGCTATTGTCAATTGAATTTTTCTGTTTTTGACAACACTATAGAATAGGGGTGTAAATCTTGTGAAATTTTCTTCTGGAAAGCAAGAATAAATAATGTTACTGTTTTTCTGTTTGCAGTTAGAAAGCAATCAAGGACTGCAGTTTTCAAAGACTGCTTGAAGTCTGGATTTTTTTTTCCTGTGCAACAAATGCAATTTTTGTTGTTGCATAGAACACAGCATTTTCTGTACACAAAACATGTTTTCTGTGCAAAAGGCATGTTTCCTGAGCAGAAAATGTGTGTCAGAATCCTGTGTGCCTTGCTACATTATGTAACATTACATATACCTTTAAGTTATGTATAACAGAGGTGCTAAGAAACTCCTTTACTAAATTGTGAAGATGAAGATGGGAGAGTGGCATTTTACTGGCTCTGCTTGGTACTAACAGCTGCCCTCTACTGCATATGGATTTTATGCAACTGTGCAATTCTGATTCCTGCAGATATAAGTCCACTTATGGAGGTGTAATACCCGAACAGGATTCTGGTGAACAATTCTATTTTCTGCACAGGAAATGTCTAGTATTACTAGTGAGAAAAGAGAAGCAGACCCAAGCCTTCTGCCAAGGCTTCTTCTGTTTTCTGTGTACAGTGTTTTCTGTGCAAGAAATGAAATTTTCTACACACACAAGTGTTTGCATGTTTTGCACAGAATAGCTTCCAAACTGCAAAGATTCTCGCCCGCCTTCTCATCTCAAATGTTCTGACACCTGAGAAACCCATTTTTCAAATATGTTTGAACATCTTTTAACCTTTAAACCTTATTTCTGTCCCTACCATAGAAAGGAGCAATATTTTAAAGACAGGGTTTCTATATAGCTTACTGCTGCCACCAGTGTTGGCTGGTGGCTTCCATGTCAGTGTGGTAATGAATTAACTACAGGTTTTAGTCTGAAATATAAAGAGCTGTCCATGGTTCTGAATCTTGCCCCAGTACAGGTTCAGTGCCTTGGATAGCTACTTTAACATTTGGACTAAATTTGAGGGTGGATTACCCTGTTTCTGTTGAAAACTGTCCTCTTCTCTAAGCTTAGGGAAAAAACCTTTTTTGAACTACATCTTTCAGCTACAGCTACAACTGCAAAGGCTGTCTGGAGATTCGAGGACTGCAGTCCAACCCAGTAATTTTATTTTATTTTTTAAAATCTCTGCCTGTCAGCATATTATTTTTGAGGCCAGCTTGTAGACTATGGCTAAATCCCTGGATAATTTTTGAAGATTTGCAGGGGATTCTGATTCCCAGTTATGTAACAAACACAGCTACAAATAAGCTTTCCCATTTGTTGTTGTTAACTGCCTTTGAGTCGACCTCGAATCATGGTGGCCTTGCAGATGAGACATCTCCAAGACCCCGTATCTTCCACTGCTCTGCTCAAGTCTTGTAGATTCATGTCTGTCACCCTACTCTTAACATAAGTTGTACTTTGTCGATGGAGGTTATTGCAGTGGCTCTTGGAATGCCTTTGGTAATTGACTCTGCATTCCTAGCCAACATTTTGCATTTGGCTCTCCCCAGCCAAATGTTTTTATGCTTGTATCCAATTGGTGAATCTTGGGATTCTAGTAAAAGCATAAAATAGATGTCACAAGCTTGAAGCCTCCCCATTTCAGAGGATTTGGCAGACGACTTGGGCATACTCCGTTTCCCCTTTCTCACAAGCAGTACTAGGCACTTGCCAAGTGAAACAGAGTGTTCCCTGTGTCCGCAGTCAGATCTGGACATTTCTTGGGTGAAAGGAAAGAGCTAAAAGTGGATTGTGTCCCTTCTTTCCTCCTCCAAGGCCCAGTGTGAAGTGTTAGAAAAGACCCTGTCCTGCAGAGTAATTGCTGGAGGGCAGAATTGTGTTTCACTTCACATGGGTTTGTGTCAAAGAGATTAATGTTTGTAAAGTTTAATTTCTGTCCTCGTCCTCGTTTGCTTTCATTGTTTTGGGAACAAAAGAATGGAAATCCCTGATAACTAGCTGAGGGAAGGGGTTTTGTCCAGTCACCATTTTCTGCTGCTTCCTGGTGTGAATGAAAATTGGGCATGCTGCTTTGAAATTTGCTAGCGCAGAACCGTTTCTGTCTCTAATTGTCCATATGGATGGGATGGTTTAATGATGCAGAACAGCAGCTGACAAACATTGATAGGATATGGGGGAAAGGAATTTAAAATCCTACTTACCTGTATGCTCAGCTATCAACTTTCCCTCTCAAAAATAGTTAATTGACCTTTATTTCTTTGGCACACTTGACAGAAAAGTGTATGCGGTTGAATACCCCTTCCTCCCATATCTTGCTCTATTTTCCTTCCCCAGGGATTTTCAGATTTGTCTTGAGTCCTGCTGCTCTATTCAGCCAGCTACTTCAACCGCTCTTTAAACCAAAGTGGCTAAAAAGTATAGCAAGTTTTAAGTGCTAAATTGTTTAGTATTCTTCGACTATTTTAAAAGTATTTCCTTATTTTAAAAACTGGTTTTAAAAATATTGTGTGTTTGTTATTCTGTGCCTTCAAATTGAGTTATTCTGAGAAGGCCTGCATAAAGCAGCTTTGGCCTTCCTCTGGGGCCGAGAGTGTGTGACCATGGCCTTCCTTTGGAGCCGAGAGTGTGTGACTTGCTCAGAAGGTTTTCAGGGCTGTGTGGGGAGTTGAACCCTGGTCTCCTGCAATCCAAATCCATCATTTAAGCCACTATACCATTCTGGCTCTCCGTCCTCAGGTATAGGGTAGGACAGGGGTAGGCAACCTTTCCCCTTTAAGGGCCAAGGGACTTCAGCTCCCAGAATCCCAGGAGCTATTGGCCAACATGGGACTGTTGGCCAACATGGCTGAGGCTTCTGGGAGCTGAAGTCCCTCGGCCCTTAAAGGGGAAAGGTTTCCTAACCCCGGGGTAGGATATAAATATTTAAAGGGTTTCTTCCCATATTAGATTTTTGAAGTGCATAACAGGTAAGGCACACTTGAAAGTACAAATTGTGAGCAAACCTCTCTCTCTCTCTCTCTCTCTCTCTCTCTCAATCTCTCAAATCTCTCTCTCTCTCTCTGTATGTGTATTTTGAATATGAGTATTGTATCAACTTGAAGGCACACATCATCAGCATCATTCAGGAACAATGATCTAAGGGTCTAAGATGGGCTCTGGCTCTGTTTCAAGCATACTTTTGGTGACAAATGTGAATCTAATGGCTGAGATCCTACATTGAGCAGGTGGAGCATAATTGTCCACCTATGCAGTTCCATGTCCTCTTTCTACAGTGGTTGTCAATGTCAAGCCCTGGAAGAAGGTTCTTCTTCTGCTTACTGTTGAGGAGGTTGTGGGAAGGGGGAATTCAAATGATGACAGAGTAGCTGGTATGAAGTCAAGGAGGGGAGAAAGAAGGCTGTATTCACAGATGGAGTGACCCCCTTTCCTTTCCCTTTGGAGTCTAGATCAGCCACATCTTCATTGCCTGAATTGTTCCCTACCCCTCCATCTCCAATAAGCAGCAGGAGGACTGTTTCCCAGTGCTTGAAA